AGCTTCAATTCACAAGGACTTAGGTGATCTTGAACAAGCAAAGGAGTATCAGCAACGTGGTTTAGCCATCAAACTCAAGAAGCTTGGTGCTGAACATGTTCCTGTTGCAACAAGCTACGGTAACCTAGCTTCAATTCACCAGGACTTAGGTGACCTTGAACAAGCAAAGGAGTATCAGCAACGTGGTTTAGCCATCCTACTCAAGAAGCTTGGTGCTGAAGATGTTTATGTTGCAACAAGCTACGGTAACCTAGCTTCAATTCACCACGACTTAGGTGACCTTGAACAAGCAAAAGAGTATCAGCAACGTGCTTTAGCCATCCAACTCAAGAAGCTTGGTGCTGAACATGTTTCTGTTGCAACAAGCTACGGTAACCTAGCTTTAATTCATCAGCACTTAGGTGAAATTGAACAAGCAAAGGAGTATCAGCTACGAGGTTTAGCCATCAAACTCAAGAAGCTTGGTGCTGAACATGTTTCTGTTGCAACAAGCTACAGTAACCTAGCTTCAATTCACCAGGCCTTAGGTGACCTTGAACAAGCAAAGGAGTATCAGCAACGTGGTTTAGCCATCCAACTCAAGAAGCTTGGTGCTGAACATGTTTATGTTGCAACAAGCTACGGTAACCTAGCTGCAATTCACCAGGACTTAGGTGACCTTGAACAAGCAAAGGAGTATCAGCAACGTGGTTTAGCCATCTTTCTCAAGAAGCTTAGTGCTGAACATGTTTCTGTTGCAACAAGCTACGGTAACCTAGCTTCAATTCTCAAGGACTTAGGTGACCTTGAACAAGCAAAGGAGTATCAGCAACGTGGTTTAGCCATCCAACTCAAGAAGCTTAGTGGTGAACATGTTTCTGTTGCAACAAGCTACTGTAACCTAGCTTCAATTCACCAGGACTTAGGTGAAATTGAACAAGCAAAGGAGTATCAGCAAAGTGGTTTAGCCATCAAACTCAAGAAGCTTGGTGCTGAACATGTTTCTGTTGCAACAAGCTACGGTAACCTAGCTTCAATTCACCACGACTTAGGTGACCTTGAAAAAGCAAAGGAGTATCAGCAACGTGGTTTAGCCATCCTACTCAAGAAGCTTGGTGCTGAACATGTTTATGTTGCAACAAGCTACAGTAACTTAGCTTTAGTTTTCAAGGCCTTAGGTGACCTTGAACAAGCAAAACAGTATCAGCAACGTGGTTTAGCCATCCAACTCAAGAAGCTTGGTGCTGAACATGTTTATGTTGCAACAAGCTACTGTAACCTAGCATTAATTCACCAGGACTTACGTGACCTTGAACAAGCAAAGGAGTATCAGCAACGTGGTTTAGCCATCTTTCTCAAGAAGCTTGGTGCTGAACATGTTTCTGTTGCAACAAGCTACGGTAACCTAGCTTCAATTCACAAGGCCTTAGGTGACCTTGAACAAGCAAAGGAGTATCAGCAACGTGGTTTAGCCATCAAACTCAAGAAGCTTGGTGCTGAACATGTTTCTGTTGCAACAAGCTACAGTAACCTAGCTTCAATTCACCAGGCCTTAGGTGACCTTGAACAAGCAAAGGAGTATCAGCAACGTGGTTTAGCCATCGAACTCAAGAAGCTTGGTGCTGAACATGTTTCTGTTGCAACAAGCTACGGTAACCTAGCTTCAATTCACAAGGCCTTAGGTGACCTTGAACAAGCAAAGGAGTATCAGCAACGTGGTTTAGCCATCTTTCTCAAGAAGCTTGGTGCTGAACATGTTTCTGTTGCAACAAGCTACGGTAACCTAGCTTCAATTCACCAGGACTTAGGTGACCTTGAACAAGCAAAGGATTATCAGCAACTTGCTTTAGCCATCCAACTCAAGAAGTTTTTCTAACTGTTGGTGGTCGAACCCTAGAGGAAAAAACGGTTAGTTAGGTATAGAGAGTGAAAACTGGGGCCCGTTTCTCGAAAGTCCCGGTAACTTTTCGTGCCTGAAATCAAATGTTCAAATCGAAACGTAAAGAATAGGAGCGCGTGTTTTTGCTAGCATATATTCCATTGTTTCATTAACTGATAGTTTTATCATGATATATGCAAAGCTATTGAAACCTCGATCTGTAATGTAGACGGAGACAGCTTACGGAACAGGAAGACAAGCAACAATACGACATTTCTTCCATAAAACGTGTAACTAGGAAGTTTTATGTTGTAGTTGTGCAACAACAAAGGAAAAGAAATATACAAAAAAGTGTGTTGCAGAATTAGACCTTATGATTTATGTTTGCCGTTTTCGTTGTCGTCGCCGTTTAGCATTACACGATTTCATTTTTTGTTGGAGTAAATTATAAATTATATGTATATTAACGAGAGTTTCGCTTTTAGTCCAGGCTTAATCTCTATATTATATCCTCAGATGTGGGTTTTCGGTTGAGACTATGTCTACACCAACCCGTCTTTTACTCCCGCACGTGCATTTTAGCGTAATCGTTTTTGGCACTAAGCCATCAGAAACGTCTATCTCCCGGTACGTTTCTGCTCCCAGGCTTTTCTCGGACATGTGTACTTCATACTGCACTTGCGTCAACAGCACCATTGGTATTCTCGTTTTTTCCCCTGACAACATGTCTCGCATGATAAGCTACGACGTTAGGGCTTTTGATGGCTTTAGTTTGAAAGCAGGGCCAAAATGCACAAATGTGTCCAAGTTTGTTCATTTCAAATGAAAAGGCATTGGTGTGGACGAGTTCTCAGTGTGGGATAGTCGAAAACGCTGCATGGAAAAGAAGCAGTTTTGATGCTTTTGTCAACAAAAACGGAGTTTGTTCAAGGTCCACTCATTTGTGTGGAGGCAGCCTGAGATGCAGATAAAACAGAGAGAGTTAAGTTTGTTGCTATATTCCCATTTTATTTCAGTCACTTTATACACTACCTGCTTAACCCTTTTTAAACGTTCAAAGAGTGACGGACATCAATTTTCTCCTAACGATATTCACACATTGTCAAGAGATTAGGTTATGAGAATTAATATAATAATCACCTAATAGAAAATGCTTCGATCTTTTATCAAATTCTCTCAACTAATTCTTTAAGGAAATGTATAGAGATCAGTTTGGAGAATTTGTATGTGGATATTGGGGCTTAAAGGGTTAAATTCAGGTATAGGTTTAACCAATTCAGTGAAGATAACAAATCGTAAAGTAATCTCACAGCGCGAAAAATTTTACGTTCCGACAGTTATACAAAAATAGTTAATTACTCTATCTTTAGAGGAATCATTACTAAATGGATAGATATTAGATACATCACTTTATGCAAAAGCATCTTGTTTCAATATAAAGTCAAAGGAATTGCAAAATCCACTTCTAATTCTATCGTTTATTTTTCAAACCATTTTTGTATAAGAGTGTATTTTTATTTGAATTGTATACATTATGATTTAAAAGCATTACTTTTTACCAATTAAGAGTCATGGCAGTAGGTATATCGTATATCTCAAGGCAAAGTGCAGGCGTCTTTAACTCTTTCACTCCAGAATGAACGATGTAATCCTATGAGGTTGTTCTAACTTTTGAGTCTGTGGACCAAATCCGTTGGTGTGACCATTCAAATGAACCTCTTTACTTGGCAGCGCTCTTACGTTGTACCATTTGTTTCTCCGAATTTAATAAAATGAAATTTGGAATTTCTGTCCAATTTAGACTTTGGCCTTTTCTGTGAGTGAAACAGTTAACGAAACCACTATAGGCGGTGTTAGGATAACAGAAAAAAATGTTAGACAAACATTAAATTCAAAATTAAATAACCCGTTTGTAAATAAACAATACAATATCACGAAATGCTTTAGAACGCTACTTTCTTTCAAAAGACTAAAAATATCCCTTTTACTTAGAGAAAAATTTAAATGAACTATATGCTTGTCTACTACTACAAAACGGTCCAAGGTCACCAGGTATGGACCTCGTCTTACACTATTAAATCAGCCCAAAGCCCATTCCTTCCAGGAAAGCTCCCGGATGAAACGGTTGGCCCCAAGCCTCACTCCAGGCTACTGAGACTGCGTTCTAAGGGAACAAACCAATGCCGGATCCGGATCTTGAGATAAGGGAGGAGGAAGGGTGGGGGGCGGCAATCCAGACCCTGAGATAAGGGGGCTGCCCGATGTCCAATTTTTTTTTTTCAGCCCTTCGCGCCTCAGTTTGGTCATGGGTTCCTGGTTTGGTCTAAAAATAAGGGGGCGCCCCCCCCACCCGGCCCCCTCCCCTGGATCCGCCACTGCAAACAATTAACACCACTAAGATGTAGTGAAATCATGTTCAAACTGGACCCAGCTAGTTGTCACCTTTCAATGATGAACACCTCTCAAAGTGGTTTTTCTGTGAGGTAGACATCTCTCTATGAAGGACTGAAAATACGCCAAACACCTTTTTATGTTTGACACCCCTAAGTTAGTTACTTGTTCAAGATCGAAAAAGTGCAACACAGACACTACTCAGGGGTTGTGACTCGGGGGCTCTTGCTTGTACGTAAGTCCCCTTACAGGAACACAGACAGAAGCCAGTATTGAGCAGTGCACTCCCTAGGGTACTTAACACCTGACCGTGGCATGTAAGCCACCTTCTTTAGCGCACCAGGGTATTGTGGGTACGGTTTGAATCTGATTTAAAAAAGGCGCGAATATAAAGAGCGCAAGATTTGAACGCAGTGAAGGGTAAATGGTAAGCGAACGTTTGTTAAGTCCATACCGACCGGAATGATTGGACTACCTCAAAACGTAGTCCTAAATCAGTTTTCGGTTGGAATTTACGAGAAAACGACCTTAGCATTAACCTTCCATCCAAACTTTTCGGGATTTTTGCTTGGTGGCAAGCGCTTCTAGTATCCGGTACATCTGCTCAATACAGGTTTGTTCCAAAAAAATATATATCATAAGAAACGGTTTTGGACTTACTAAATGCAGCGCGACCGTTTAATACTTTCTTAACAAAAAGTCTAGAAAAACCTTCAAATTAGTCTCTATTTATACTATAAAACTCTGTTTTTCAATTTTTGGTTCCTTTGCTTTCAAATAAGGATTTCATGGCTGTAGTTCGCTGTTGCCGCTTTTCCTGAAACACAATAAACAGAGAAATAACTTTACGACTTAATGTTACAGTTAAGGTTAACGTTGTAAACAATTTTATCATTTTTCAAATTTCGTTCTGTATAAACCCTTGATCAGTCAAAACGACAAAACCGAGGTGTGGTGTTTGTGATTTTAGCATATTAGTCATCTTAAACATTTTAACTTGCTTTTAAAAGCGGCATCCCTGTCTATGCTTGCTTTCTGGATAACGCAATTGATTTCCGCAATACTAATCCACTGGACAGCATACAATAGCAGAGCTCTCGCGCACGAAGCGCGCGCAGCGGAGCACCATGGGTAAGAAAATGTGGTAAACTATCCATCCAAGAAAATTTGGTAATCACGTGACCGTACACCGACCGACCGACCGACCGACCGTCCGTTCGCACCACAGGCATACCAATGTAAAATAACTCACTCAACAGGTATGGCAACCCAGATGTAACTCGAGGTTATTTTGACGGGAAATCGCATTGCCACCCGCGTCTTGTGACGCAGAGACAACTAAAGAGTCAATAAAGTCCACAAATTTGGAATATAGAGCAAGAGAAAGACAGACAAAAAGAGAAAGTGGGCGGCAGGCCAGCGAAGCTCAACGAGATAAAGGGCGAGAGAGATCTAGAGCGAGAGATAAAAAAGAAAGGAGACATTTTTTTTGTTGGAAGAACAACATGACAATTTTGTAGCGGTGGTGACAAAACGAGAAATGCTAGGGGCCACCAATGCAAGGTGAAAGTGAGCGGCAGTGAAAAAAAAGTGAGCGAGAAAACGTACCACATTTCAGTCTATAAAACTTGTAACTAAGAAGTTTCTGGAAGTTTCACGTTGCAGTCGTGCAAAACAACGGCAAAAAAATGTACAAAATAGAGTGTGCTGCACGTGCAAAGTTCCTTTTTGGCTAATTAGACCTATTGTTGTTTTTCACCGTTCTCCGGCGTTGCCTTCGCCGCTTAGCATTACACGATTTTATATTTTGTTTGAACCAAATATAAATATTATCGAGAGCTTCGCTTTTAGCCCTGGCTAAATCTATATATTATTTTTCAGTGGAGAACGTTACACGCCTTGAGCAACTAGGACCTATACACTGGCAACAACTTGGTTTACCCTCGCAACAACCTGAAGGAGGAAAAGAGCTTGTTGCTCTAGTTCACGGAAAGAAACTATTATAGGGCAAGCAAGGACGGTTCCGTATCTAAAAGCGTCTGCTTGCAATTTAATTAAAGTAAACAGTTTTGAACAACTATCGATTATATCGATTATAGAGGCTTGAAATAGTGTTTTAATTTTCCATTTCGTGAGTGAAAATAATCCAAGAGCAACTTCTTCATCAGTCTGTCTTTGTCCAATATTGGAGGATGAGGTTTAAACGTGTCACCGAAACTAACCTTCTCTTCTTTTTCTTTCCTCTTCCTTTCCATTTCTTGTTCCTTCTTCTTCTGAAAACGAAAGGGTAAGGAAAAACGTTAACCACACGTTTAAACAAATTAAACTGATTGAAACCACAATAGATAAAAAAACAACAACAGCAACAACAACGAAACATTCACTTTCTACGTACCTGTTTAACAAACTGATTCTCTTCCTCTTTCTGTCGTCTTTCTAATAAAACTCTTTCTCTTTCCTTCTGAAGTTCCTCTTCCCTTCGTCTTTCCTCCTCTTTTTCTAGCTGCCAAAGATATGGGAAAACAAGGAAAGTTAGTTGCAAGCGAAATATACAGCATATAAAAACAACAAACTGAGGTGAGGGAAACTCAAGCACGAAAATATGAGATAGACAGTGGCTGTGGTCACACTTGGGCTTTTTTTACTATAGTAAAGTCGAGTTTACTACTGTAAACACGTTTTCTAATGTGACCGGCTTTTCTCATTTTACTATGGTAAACACAGATCTAGTCTGTTGCGGTGGCAACGGCGGTAGAATGAAAGCATAGTAAACTTTCCTAAAACGATATGGTTTATCGCTGGTATATCTAAACTTTGTTTATTCAGTTGACATTTAGTCGCATTATTTGAGATGCGTTCCCTGAGTGTCACGTTGCTGAATACTTATACATGTCTTTTTAGCGCCGCCAGCCTATTCTTTTCCTTTTTTCCTGCCAAACAGTACAGTAGAGATGTCACAGTGACTCAGACAACTTTCTTTCATTCAAGGCAAGTCCACAGTAAATTCTGGATTTCAAGGAATCATACGCCTACATCTAATGTTCGTGTTTCATTTCTGAGTCGAGCATAAATTTAGAAGTAAATCATTCAATTCAAGTGTTTTTTTATTCCGTGCAGCCACATTTTTTCTATCTACTGTCTGAATATGGATTTTGGTTGGCACGCTTTTTTTAAGAAACCCTCATGTTCTTTTCACTTTAGAGTTCCACCGTTCCTCAATAGTTTCGTAATCCCACCAGGCGGTTTTTCAGACGATCACGGCCGCGAAGTAATTCAGCATGGACCGCTTATATTTGGCCGAGAAAATAATGGGATAGAAACAGTATAAGCAGCGGCACAATTTTCAGTGAATGTATGATGTACAGACAGTCACGTAACTGGATAAAAAATAAAACATTCATGGAATGTTGTAAGAATTATCACCTGTCCTCAGGCTCATCATTTGAGTGACACATTTCTGTTGGGAAACCATCTGGAACGTGTTAAGTCAACTAATGAGTTTTACCATGTAAAGTTTTTTTACATCGTTTTTACCACGGTTAAAGCCTTTTACCAACGTCAAATCCCAAGTGTGACCACAGCCAGTAAGGCCGTTTATACGAGGAAAAACAAGAGGCGCCCTAAATATGACGTAAACCGTACTGTATAACCGACACATTTCGTCTGAAAAAGACGCGTCTTATGTAGGAACAGCCCTTAACACCTGTTCTTAGATAAGACGCGTCTTAGCTCTTAAAAGTCGCGTCTTATTTCAAACGAAATTTGCCGTTTGTACGGTCAAGTTTGCGTCTTATTTAGGACGCGTCTTATGTAAGAGGCGTCCTTTTTTTCCTCCTATAAATAGTCCTAATATATAATATCTTTGGATTACATTCAAAGAGTTTCCTCGGAAGATGAATTCTCTACTGTCAACGGTTAGTGGTTTTCCTCATTCGAGTCTGGTTTCATATCTCCCGCTTCATACCAGGTTTTCCTATACGTATAGTATAAACCGTAAGACGAGTAACATGACTTCAGGTCCTTAGAAGCAAAAGACAATGCTTCCTTTCACGGAGGTTACCGAGTTGCACAAGTTGCACGTGTTCTTATGTTTGGTACCTAACGCATGATTTTCCCGCCGTTGTCTCTCATTCGCCATTCGCACACGTTTCATGTTTTACAACGCCCAGTGCTATGGTATGTTTTCCCGCGCTCAGCATTTCAAGTATCTTTTCGCGTCCTTTGCATCAGTTTCTTGTTTTCCCGCGAACACGCCCCCTTTGTTCACGTTTACATTACATTAAATATTCTTATTGTCTAGAACTACAAACTACTTACTTGGATTATACTTTTTCTTTTATTGTTACCCCTATAACACACAAATGAGAAGACAAAAAAGTGCTTTAGGGAAACATCTACCTCACGCAAGCAGGGAAGAGACCCGGGGGGTACTGCCATATATGGGCTATATAGGTATGTGCCGCTGTGAAGGGTATGGTTTTCAAGCGGTTTACTCTAGGATAGGGTATGTAAATCAGAGCGTTTGGGTCTAGAATAGGGTATCATTTTTCAGAAAACTGATCAGTTGGTTGAAGGGATTGTGGTATAAGGTTTTGTTTTGGCTAGATTACTGTGCTAGTGACCTCAGTAGTTTCTGGAAAACAGCTACTCTAGGATAGAGGAGATTTGGGGAGTTCACTCTAGTATAGGGTAGCAAAATTCAGCTAAACTAGCTCTGGTTCCAGGGTCCCAGCGGCACATCTCCACCCAGAAATTCCTAAAGTACCCGCCCCCCTCCGTGGGAAGAGGGCTGTGCCGTGCATTCATAAGGAAAACAAAAATATGCCATAAAAGCCAAAATTTAAGACAAAGTGAAAACAAATAATGGGAAATATACCAGAGCACGTGGTTCGGCCAGGAATCGAACTCACGCCTATGCTCTACAGTAAAGTATCCTATGAGCTAAGCTAATCCGTTGCAAAATTACAGCAAGCAAAAATGAACTCTTTAAATCATGTTTAACCAGACTCTCTAAATAAACTCTCTAAATAGACTCACTAAATAGACTCTCTGTCTACCAGGATGCAACGCGGGCGTGCATTAAGGTTCCGTATGATTTTTCTCCTTGGGTGATGGCTCAGCGAAATCGCTAGAAATCAGAGCCATCCAAGAAAAATTGTTGACATTTCGCGTTTGTTAATTGAGAATGAGAATTGAGAATGGCGACCTCCAAAAAAGTTGGAGGCAAAGTTATTTATTTGAGAGAGTCCGTGCGGGAACAATGGAGAAGCCAAAACCTTCGCTACGACAAGCTTACGGACAGCGAGTTTGTTGAAGTCTTGTTACAGTAAGTGGCTTCAGCTAACATTCACTAATTTTTTTTTGTAATTTTGTGTAAGTTTGTTTTTGTAGTAACTTAATTGTCTTCTGTACTTTGTCTTGTGTCTTCAGTTCATGTCCCGATTTATATATAAAAAATACAAGGAAATCTGGGAAAAGAAGGGTCAGCGACGATACTAATCTCGACTTTCATTCAGGTGCGAAATACAGTTAGTTAGTGTATTATCTCTTGATCTTCAGTGCACAACAGTGATACTCAGCTCTGAAGTAAAGTAACCTGTCGCTTATCAGCCGGCGGTCCTTCTTTCCTGGGAGTCACGCACGGCGAGCGAAATCGTGATCATTATGCAAATCAACACTCACTCGCTCAAATTCTCGCTCTCTCTACTATCAAAAGAAAAATAAGAGACTGTTTGCATTCTAGTACTAGCAGCTTATAGTTTTTGGTCAGAAAACGTAAATGTATCCAATTTAATCTTAGGCCATCCTCTTTTTTCTCCTTTTATGCATCAGTCAATTCCAGCAGCGCCCAGCACCCCCCCCCCACCCCGCCTCCCCTGGGCTGAGCCCCCGGGCATTAACATTTTTGTTTGCCTTGGATGGCAAATTCCCGGGGGTGGAGACTCTTGAGCTGTCAAATCCCCCGGGGTGGGGACGAGAAAAGAGGGCAAATGCCCCATCCTCCATCAACACCACAACATTTTTCATTGATTGCAAAGTCGAATAATGCCGTTTTAAGCATTTTAATGTGTGATTTTTCGTTTTAATTAAAATAGTGCTATGATTCTAATGAAGACTTCACGCCGCGACAACATGCACCAGTTTAGGATTTTAGTATTGATGTAAAACTATTGACATTAAAATTAAAAGAACACTGTAACGTTATATATGTTAGGAATAGTTTTATAAATATGAAAGGATGTTCTTCAAATAATATCAACAGAAATTTGATTCAATAACCAAAACACGTTGATTCACATCAATAGCTCCGGTTTTTGCTGTGTAATTCCATCTTGATATGCAATGAAGAAATGCATGCATAAAATTGAGACCATACCTTTACAACCCTCTTCAATTTATTCCTGTCCTTGACAGGTGAGCCAATAAAACCTTCTGAGTAGTTGTATGCTGATAGGAAACTGCGTGCATGTAAAAAGCTCGCTAATGGTGCCGGGGTTGACAATTGCTCGGCCCGCGAGCAGTGCAAAATTTGCAAATACCCCCACCCCCGGGACTGACAAGGGAAGCAAATGCCCTGCAGTAAAGGAGGGGGGAGGGGGTGTATGGGCCCAGCTGGAATTGACTGATGCATTAGCATTGTCCAAATTTTTGGCGTTTTCAAAAAAAAATTACAAAAAAACAACGTAGTTTGAAACCATTTTTCACTGGAAATAATTCTTTTAATCCGAAAAATGAGCAAAGCAACAGCATAGAGAAAAAACAGGTACATTTTTTACAGTATATTGTGCATTTTGTTAATCCAAATATGTGAATGTTAATTAACTTTTAACGTCATCCTGGGGTACCAGGGCCTCCTATTCCGCGACTTCTTGTTATTTTTTTTTTTCAGCTTTTTTTTTTCAATCTGACCAACTGATCCATATCAGGAAACGCATTTGTCGCTAATTACGAAAAAAAAAAAAGGGGGATGGCCTTATTAATATTTTTTGGTGTCCTGGCCATGGTCAGTTTGTTTTTCCATAGCAGTTGATACAGTAAACTTATGTTTTATTTTTTCCTTTAGGTATTACTGCACCATTTTGCTCAACCCCAGCTAAGAGAGTAAGGAAAGAGTGCCTGAACGACCGTATTGACCAATCTTTGGAGGTGTCTTTTGACAGGTACTGTTTGAATGAAAATATGTTTTGAATGTAAAAATACTTGTTTACAACGAAATGTATCCTTTACTGACTCCAAGCGTTACTGCACCTGCAAAAAAAATTGAGCATAGCATATGCATTTCAATCTAGTAGTTTAATCCAGGTATTTTGGGTGGGGGGGTGGGGAGCAGTGTCAATTGTCTTCATTTGTATGTTCATTTATATGTTACTCCAGGTGAAGTCAGTCGATAGAAGTCAGTAACAATCAATAAATCAGTCCTCGTTGATATTATTAGTCCGACTCACAAAAGTTTCTCTTCATCAATTTTTTTCATTGCTATCGGAAATCAGCATCAATATTTGA